CCAGCTAAGGGTATGTGATGCCAGCTCACAAAAGGCAGATTGAATAAGAACAAACTCGGGGATTAAATGTATTTTTATGGTAATGACATCTAGAGAAAACCTTTGCCTACTCTGTCTTGCTTCTCAAATTCAGTCAGATATTTTCCAAGAATGATAGTCACAGATATCTACATGGGCCTGAATAAAATTCACTGGCTACATTTTTCTACATTATCCATATTTCTTATTTGCCTTAAAAATCAGGATAGAGACTTTTTCATTCTCCATTCCTTGGCGTTTTACAGAGAAATCCATCATTAGAATAGATTTTATTATTCTTTTTAATTCTTTTGCTTTTTTTTATCCCTAACAGGTGCTGATTCTATTCTCTCTATGTGCCATTTTGAGAAGTGTTTTATTATTTTACTAGAAACTTACCCCAGAAATTACAAAATAAAATCTGGCAGTTTAAAAAAAAAAAAATCTCACCCACTCAAATTAAGTTGCTTTAAAGCAGTTGGTTCTCAATTATTTTTTTCCCAATGGGTCAGCCTTTGAAAAGAACAAATGGTTACTTATCCTGCCATAGGGTGAGCTATTTGGCTGTGGTTCCTGTTGAATTAATACCGCTTTTCAGGGATAAGACAGTATGAAAATGTGAGAAAAGTGTGTCAAGGGATAAATAAAATGGCACATACTAAACCATTTAATTCAGCTGTTGCAAAGGTGTTTAATTGTACTTGGGACATCTTTGTTTGCCGTTCAGCAAAGGGTCCTTGTTGCATTTGAAGGGTTCTGATTTCCAGGATGACGAGTTGTTCTCTAAATGCGGACAATGAGTTCGTTAAAAGCCATGAAGTTTCTTTTCTAATTCCTTTTCTGAAGATTTCATTTGGGCTTTGTTTCCTTTGCTAAACTGGAGAGCACCGGTGGGGATTTGTTCTGGCTGCTTCTCTTTTTGTTTTCCCCCTGGTTTCTATTAGATTTTATCAAATTAGGACAAGAATAACTTAGGGTTTTCGTTGGAAAAGTTTTGATCGTTTTCAGTTTAAGTTTATGTCCATGTCGGGATATATGTCAGTCCAACCTCGGATTAGATTAGGTGCACCCAGTTTGAACAATCCAGTTAGAGTCCTGGTTTCCCTGCCTGTTTTCTCAGCCTAGGAAAGTTCATTCCTGTTTGCTCAATACCAAGACCCTTTTTGTCTAACATCGCACGAAAATGAAATGATCCCTCATATTATCTGGAAATAGTTTGGAATGACTGGGGTTTCCAGGTGGATGCGGAATACTGAAACTCCTCTGGGGCACACAAAGCTCTTTCTGTTCTCAGTTTACCCTTTCCAAGATGATTTTACCCACCTTCCACAGATGTCCGTCCCCCTTCCTTCTCCCGCCATGTAACTCTCCTAAAGTAAGGGCAGACTCTTCTCTCCTGGACCTAGCAGTATTCCTGATTGGTTTCTTTTTCACACTTTATCACCCAGAAAGAAAATTCTCTCTTGGTCCCTTAAGGATAGGAAGAGTCATCTTTGTTTTGTTTGTTTGGGATTTCTGCTTTATTGTTACAATAATGGATAGGTCCCTCCCTGCTTTTATCCATGGCCTTGATTAATGTACATTGTGTGCTGGTAACTTGATCCTGGGATCATAAAACTGTTCTCTAGTTTTTTTTCTATTGAGCAAAATTAACCTTCAGCACAATTTTTGTTTAAATGTTTAAATACATGTTTAAAAATATTGTTGAAACATCTACTGACACTAGGAGAAAAAGCAATGAAAACGTATCTCAAAGATTCTAGAAGATGTCGTAACATTTTGAACTATAGGACAGAATTGTGGTTCTTTGTAATTCTTTTGTTTATATAAAACAAATAACTTTCAAAAGCCTACAGTATCTGGTTGGCTTGCCAGAACTCAATTCAGTTCAGCTAACAATTATTGAGGACCCTGTACTGTGTAAATCACTGGGCTATAACTAATTTAAGCTGGTAATACAGAAAAATGAAGTGGATTTAAAAAGATAAGAAAAAAATCCAATGAGGCTAAGTGCATCTTTAATCTCTAATCAGCCAGGATTGTAAACACCCCAAAATACATTTACTCAGATTCTCTTCAGTTCCTCAACCTGAACTCGCATCAGATTAAAAATTTTTTAAGAACTCCAATTAGATCTCATGCCAACAATCCCAGTCTATTATAACTGTGGTAGCTAGAGATTAATAAAGGAGAGTGGAAGGGGTCAAAGAAAATGTATTAGAAGATAGATCAGACAATTAAAAAAAAAAGAATATAAACACATAAAGGTAGATTTGGCCATCTTGGTATAGTAAATAAAACATCACTAATAATAATCAGTGAAATTATCACTTATGAATTTTAATTATAATTTAGTTTTATTAATTTCAATCAATTTAATATTATTAATTAAACTATTATTATTATTATTCCGGCAAATGTTTCTTTAGAGTCTATTCTGGGCCAGGTTCCTCTAGGCACTTGGAATAGATCACAGACAAAACAGCTTTGTCTGTGTGGGGCTTATATTCTGTTGGGAGAAGAGCAAGACATTAAATAATAAACATACAACATATGTAACTTACGTAGGATGTTAGAAGGTGGTAAGTGCTGTAGGAAAAAATAAGAGCAAACAAAGGGAAGCAGGAGTGGAGGTGTTACAGCTTTAAATAGGATGGGAATTAGGCTTGTGGGGATATCTGTAATAAGAGCATTCCTGGGAGAAAGGACAGTTAGGGCAAAGCCCTAAAGTGGGACTGTTTCTAGGGAGTTTGGGAAAAACAGGGAGGCCAGAGTGGCAGGAGTGGAATGAGCCAGGGGGATGAGCAAAGGGCATGGGTGTCAGCCTTGCAGCCATCTTAAGGAGTGAGGTGAGGAGCCCTTGAAGGATTGTGAGCAAAGGAGTGTCCTGGCCTGAGGTAACATTTGAGCAACATCACTCTGGCTGTTGCTTGAGAAGAGTATTTTGAGGGCAAGACTGGAAGGAGGGAGACCTGTTAGGGATCTAGGGCAGTAACCCAGGTGAGGGGTGGTGAGAAGTGGTCATATCCTGAATATATTCTGAAGGGGGACTGAAAAGTATTTCCCAAGGCACTGGATATGATGTGTAGGGGAAAGAGAGAAGCCAGCTTATGAGGTAGGAGAAAAACCAAGAGTGTGCAGTCCAGAAAGGTGAAGGCTGAGAATCGACCATTGGTTCTAGTCGAAGGGGGCGGGGGTCATTGATGACCTGGATTCAGGGTGACTTCAGTGAGGGAGCAGCTGGAAAAGGATGGGAGGAGGAAGGATATCAGTGAGGGCGAAGGACAGCACAAAGCTGGCAGAATCAATGGCTGGAGTTGCCAATGGACGGCAAGGATTGTTGGAGTGGGGGCGCTCGAGGGAAGGAACTGAACAGCTAGGGGTTGTCATTCAGAGATGCACAAAATCAAGACTGTGAGAAGCTGCAGTTATCAGTAATGATAAGATGTGGGGTATGACCATGACAGTCAGTGATTGAAGCAGAGCAGAAGACAAGTTTATTGGAGAAGAAGAATAAAACGGAGGGACCAGGAGCTTGGGCGCTTCATCAGTATGTATGTTGAAATTGCCAAGAATTAGGAGTTGTATTGGAGAGAGGACAGTGGGGAAGGAACTAAATCTTTGAGAAATGATGAGGAATGGACAGAGGCCTGTAGATGACTCTTTAACAGTGGGCACGGTCTGATGACATAAGAGTCAAAGCTGGAGCGCTTCGGGGACAAAGAGAGTGGAGAATGATCTGGAAGTAGCAGCGAGGAGCAAGGCCCCCATGGTCCAAGGGGCTTACGTAAGAGAACGCAGAGCCAGCACTCGAGCGGGCCAGTTTTCAGTCAGAGCAGAGAGGCGACCGTGCCAGAGAGGGTTTGGATACGGGATTTTGCGGATGGTGTACTACGGGTTCATCATCCGCGGAAAGGTTTTAAGGAGAGGTGGGAGATGAGAAAAACAGAGGCATGTGCAGAATCTTACTTAAATCAGAGCGAGAGAATGGAGGGGAACCCGAGAGCCCGGGGTGTGTGTGTGCATGTCTGTGCGTGTGTGTGCGCGTGTGGGCTCGGATGAGACCTGGTGACCTCGAGGTAGATGGTGGTGACAAGACTGTGAGCGTTGGGCCCAGGGAGGGGTGGGGTGTCTGTCCTTACCTGGGGGGCCAGCCAGGTGAGGACATCCGGGGAAATGGAAACTCAGTCCCGGGGTGCAGAGTTGACATGGCTGCTGAAGCCTATGGGGTCGAAGGCTAGTGGGGAGCGTGGTGTTGCTGTAGGGCCTGCTCCTGCGCTCCGAGGAAGGGAAGACATACCTAGAGTGTTCAGATCTTCCCCTTGTCTCCTTTCCTGTTAGCAAGAGTAAAAGTGGGCACTTCTCAAGTGAATCATTTCCAGTCTCTGGAGGCCAGGGCTTACTACCTTATTCCATGAGGAAATGCTGTTACCCCGCCACTTGGTAACAGAGGCAGGATTCGAGCCCAGGATCAGACCTCCAGCTCTAATTGCAGCTCACTTACCGTGAGCTCAGTGGCAACATAGCCTCCAGGGTAAATACTGTGTCAAGACTAAACTGCCCACAATTTTGTGAGCCTTTTTAAATGTCTTCAGCTGTTCTGGGGTTTGTCTTTAAATCCGTATGGCTTTCGCTTGGACTGAGAGCGCTTTTGGGTGGGGAGGTCTTCTCTCTCCTCCCAGTTCCTCAGGCTGCACAGTCAAGGTCACGTGGGGACTTTTAGTGCTTTTTGTCGGTAAACACTATTAAAAATCATCGTCTCTTCTCAGCTAACCTGCAGCGATAAAAAATATCTCGTATCAACATGCTATTTCCAAAGCACTCCTTGAACAAACATCTGAAATCTAGACCAAGTCCTAGAAAGCTGGAAAAGTTGTGGAATACGCGCACATCCCCAGAGGTTTAGACCTTTGAAGCTTTGACATATTTAAAAGGTTTCTGAGGCTTCTCATTTTGTAACTGCTGTTGTCCTTTTTCAATAGCTCAACAGGAAGACACTCAGAAGAAAACCTTCACCTGCTGGATCAACTCACAGCTGGCAAAGGTGAGGAAAAAAAGAGCAGATAAAGCTACAAATATATTTAAGTTACTCCTCCTTCCATCGCTTTGGGTCCCCCAAATGGCAAGGTTGAAAGAATGTGCTGGAGTCACCTTGATCTTGTTTAGATGTGTTCGTTATTCTCTCCCAACACAAAAAAGAGACAATTTTGTTAAGGATATGGGAGACAGTGCTATAAAAATATTTAAAGCAACAACAGCTTTTTTTTAAATCAAATATAATAATGATAATAAAAAATAATAATGATTCATATGTATGGAGTGTTATATGTTAAAAACACTGTCCTAAGCTCTTTTAAATGGCGTCAGTTTGCGTCACATTTACGAGACCTTACAACATCCCCATCAGATAGTGTTATTCCTGTTTAAAAAACAAGGAAACTAAGGTACAAAGAAGTTATGTGACTTGCCCAAGGTCACACTACTTGTAAGTGATAGTGCTGGGATACAAATCCAGGCAGTCTGGATCCAGAGGCCTTGATCTTAATCACTGTGCCATCCTGTCTCTCAGTGACGCCAAGTGCCTGGAATAACCCAGATACAAAACGAGTGAGCCTCTCCTACCCGGTTACCCATCCCTGCCCAGTGCAATTCCAGGAAGAGTAAATTCATAAACAGATTACTCCAGAAATGTAATCTACTCCCCAAATAGGTCACTACTGGCTGATTTTGATTGCCGCCTCCATGCACGGGTTTTCAGCTCTCCCTGAAAGTTACAGGAGTGTTGTGTTACTGGAAATTTGCCATGAGATAAATTAGGTTCACTACTTCTCTTATCATGCTTTGATATAGAATGTTTTGTGTTCTCTATCATTCCGCTAACTAAAAAATCACTACCGAATTTTAGCTTTTGTGAAGCCACAAAGCCCATTTATGGGATTCTTAAATGTATTATGTTTTTGGACCAACGTTTGAATGAGTGTTTTTCTTGTGACCTTTTGAAGCACACTCCTCCCTCGGTTGTCTCAGACCTGTTTGCAGACATTAAAAAGGGGCATGTTCTCTTGGACCTGTTGGAGGTACTCTCAGGACAACAGTTGGTAAGCTTTTTAAATGACATTAAAAAACCTTTTGTTGATTTACAAGTTTTTTTTTTTTTACAAGGTTCTAAGTAATATATTTTGCTTGAATTTCATAGCCTCGAGACAAAGGATCGAATACCTTCCAGTGTAGAATCAACATAGAGCATGCCCTGACATTCCTAAAAAACCGATCAGTGAGTATGAATCTCATCTGAAGATTCACAGGAGAAATGAACGCTATGAAATGTGTTCTCCTTTTAACCCGCATTTCTTCTTTTCCAGATCAAGCTAATAAATATTCATGTTACTGATATTATAGATGGAAACCCATCCATTATTCTTGGCCTAATTTGGACAATTATACTGCACTTTCATGTAAGTAGTTTGATGATGTGGAAGTTATTTCTGTTCTGATCACTGCAGTATGAAATAAGTGTAATGCAATAAGATTCAGTCCTGAGTTTCTTCCAGAAACAGGACACTCTGGAAATCTTGACAGGTAGACCTTTGGCCATTTATGTTATTTTGCGGTTGAAAATTGAATGCTGAATTATAAGAGCTTAAATTATCCATGATATCAGCACCCGTCTGAATAGAACCTGCCATGATAAAATTTTGCTTATTATTGTTTACTTACTCTGGCAGAAGATAGTAGAAAGCTTCTGGAGTAAATTTTTGAAAACTAACCCACTAAACTTTGTAGAATCTCCCAGTTTTGAGGACCCTTGTTCAATCTAATAATCCCACAAAGTCCTGTCCCAAGAATGACGCATAGATTAATTTCATTCCACAAATATATTTGAACACCTGCTATCACTAGCTTTTTTGCTAGGACACCAAGAAAACAGCAAAGACAGTTATAGCCCTGACTTCATGGTACTTGTGACTCATAAATATCTTCTTCCAGATTCTGAGTTAGTGCAGGTTTTCTGCAACTACCTAAAAAAGTTGCATGTTCTATATTTCCATAATTACTTTGAAAATAATTTGAAAAATTATGTGGGAAACAAATGCCTATTTTATAAAAACTAGAAAATAACATAACTAATTTGTATAAAATTTAAAACATGTAAAATAAGACTATATATGATTTCTGGATAGCTATATTTGGAGTTATAATAGAATAATAACACATGAGGATAATGAAAACCAAATTTTTTTTAAAAATTTTTATTTATTTGAGAGAGAGAGAGAGCATGAGCAGGGGAGAGGCAGAGGGAGAGAGAAAGGGAGAAACAGACTCTCTGCTGAGCAGGGAGCTCGATGTGGGGCTTGATCCCAGGACCCTGGGATCATGACCTGAGCTGAAGGCAGACGCGTAATGGACTGAGCCACCCAGGCGCCCTGAAAACCAAATTTTTTTGATGGCTAGTCCTTTTTATGTCCTGTAAAGAAATCTTTCCCTTTGTTAACATCATGGAGATACTCTCTTACGCTATTTTCTTGAATAGTTCTGTCCAAAAGGACTTCCTGCAGTGATGGAAATGTTCTGTGGCTGCACGGTTCAAGACATAGCCATTAGTCGCTTGTGGCCATTGAACACTTGAAATGTGGCTAGTATGACCGAGGAACTAAATTTTAAATTTTATTTAATTAATTTAAATTAAATAGCCACATGTGGCTAGTGACTATTATACTGGACAGCACAATTCTAAAAACTTAATTTTTTCACATTTTACATTTAGATCTACAATCTTTCAAGAATGGATTTTTTTGAGTATGTTATGTTAAAGCAATCAAGATTGTTTTTTTCCATATGGCTGCCCGGTTGACCCAATGCCACGTATTGAAAAGACCGTCATTTTCCTAGTGTACTGTAGTGTCAGTAAATAAAAAAATCAAGTAACCATATATGTGTGGCTCCATCATCACATTGTCATTTCTGTTCCATTATTTATCCTTGGAACCAGTACTATACTATATCAATTTCTATAGCTATATAGAAAGTCTCCATATCTGATAGTGTCCAACTTGTTCTTTAGGATTATCTTGTTTATTCTTTGCTCTTTGCATTCTCATATAATTTTTTTAATTGAGATGTAATTGACATATACCATTGTGTAAGTTTAAGGTATACAACATGTTGATTTGATATTCATATAAATTTTATAGATAACTTGTTAATTTGCATGCACGCAATCTGTTGGAATTTTAATGAGGATCGCATTGAATGTATAATTTGGAAAAAGTTGACATCTTTAAAATATTGCATTGTTTAATCCATGAATACAATATTTTTGTTATTGCTCTGTTCAAAATATTTTATTTTCACTATGATTTCTTATTTGACCTCTGGGTTCTATAACATTCTATTGCTTAATACGCAGACATTTGGGGATTTTGTTATATCTTTGTTACTGATTTCTAGCTTAATTTGAGTGTGGTCAGAGAATATCATCTGAATGATTTTAGTTCTTCAAAATGCTGAAGCTTGCTTTATGACTCAGCATCGTCAATTTCGGTAACAATTTTATGTGGATTTGAAAAGAATGTTGATTCTGCCATTTTAGGTACAATGGGGTATGCCAATCAGATCAAGTTTGTTAATTGTGTTGGTCACATCTACTATTACTGGTTGTCTGGTAGATCTGTTAATTATTACGAAGTGTACTTTTCTCAATAATACTTGCTACTGTGTTTGTAGATTGATCTTTTAAAGTTTCCCATAGGTATTATCTTACTGCCTTCCAAAAAGTCTGAACCAACTTGTGTGCTTACCTGCAAAATGTAAAAATCCACTTTTTCATACTCTTACTAGAGGATACCATCACTTGATGTTAACTTTAAAATTTTTTTGCCTGTGTTATAAATGAAGAAACTGTCCTCTTGCTGTATACGTTTAGCTTTCATAAATGACGAATGAGGTTATTTTCCACATACTTAAAAGGCATTTTTTTTTTCTTTCTTGGGACTTAGCTCTCATGTATTTGACTATTTTTTCTGTATGTATATTTGTTTCTTAATGGTTTATAATCAAGGATGCATTTTAATTGACCCGGTCTCTTGGAAGATACTCTAGCCTAGCATCTCAAGTGAGTTCAATTCAATTTAGAGTGACAGGTGTTGAGTAGCTGCGAGTTGCCCTGTAAGCACTTTAGGGGGTTGAATAGACGCTTGCCCTCAAGGTGGAACACACTGCCTGAATTAGGGCAGGGAGTGACCCAAGTCCACTGAAAGAGAGCCTAAGTGTAGCCTGAATGACAAATGCTGTTATTTAAGGATTTGTCTAGTGCTTATTTCACTATGAGTAACCTTTCACTGTTATCGGATACTTTTTAGGTCTTGTTTTGGCTGAAGGTTTTGCCTCAATGTCGCTAACTTATGATTTGTATGTGTTGACTGTGATTATGTCTTCCTTAGATTGAGGAGCTTGCCCGGTCTCTTTCTTGCAATTACAGTCAGCCTTTCCTGGACAGTGTGAGTGTGGCTGACTCATCTCCTACCTCAAGTCCTCCAGCTAAGAAATGCTCCAGAGCCCAAGAAAGATGGCAGATGTCTGCAAAGAAGGCTCTTCTCTTGTGGGCTCAGGAGCAGTGTGCCCCGTAAGTTGTTTGCTATGACTACAGGGGGACACACAGGGCAGCCTGACCCACCAACACAGCGTTATTGACTCCCGGTCTGAAAATCAGGCCGACTGGGTGGAACACCCACCTGAACACTTTCGTCTCCCCAAAGGCAAATGCTCACCAACCTCCTTAGGTGGACTGTTATTGTGTAGAAATAGAGTAGTCTTTAAATATCTTTTCTTTAGGCATAATTCCCCTATGCCTCTGGGAGGTGGATTTAAATCCCAAACATTTTACCACAGTAGGAACTCTTTAAAAGTCAGGACTACATCTTTATTGACCGTGTGTCCCCAGAACCTAGCCTAATGTGAGTTTATGGCAGATGCCCATAAATGTGTATTGAATGAATGAATGAACAAATGAAGGAATAATAATCAACACACAAAATTATCTCTTGGAGCTGTGTATGACTACATTAAAAGATCACAGTCCCCATTGTTTAGAAATCTGTAGCTCAATTAGGGAACAGAAGCCAGAAAAATAGGAGTTTTTTTAAAGAGTGGGGATGATGAAAGGAAGGTAGTGCTCAGAAATTCTGTTTTACAAGGAAAAGGGTTTTTTTGTGCGCTAGGCAGGCATTTACTCTTTAATTTTACCCACGTGCTGGGATGGGATTCAGGAAAAATAAGGAGTTAGGATGCAGAAGAACTTACCATGAGATGAGCTGTGGAGTTCAAAAGGCATTCCTTGTCACATCGTAGCATTGTCTGGATAAATAGAGGCATAAATATGTTGCTAAGACCTCTCAAATGGCGGGCTTCTGAGTAACTTCTTCCCAATGAGAGGCTAGGACGCTAATTTCTGCCTTCAGCCTTACCTTTCTTTAGTTATCATTCACCCTTTGCATTTTGCAAGGGACAAAAAAACATGCATATCTTATGAGGTTTTAGGTATATCAAATGAACTTTTTCTTGAATCTTAGAGAGACCATTTTTTACTTTAGTTTTCTAAATTTTTTAATCCAAAATACAGCATGCGTGAAAAGCATTATCATATCATATTCAGACTTGTTTCATTTATCCATAAATAAGTTTCAAACCATTTCAAAGTTCAAATATTTTAGCAGTTGATCTTTTCTCTGTGTCTTTCCTTGCTTTTCAACTGTGAGCTATGCTAAACTTACCAAGATGTAGTAAATCATTCTTAAGTAATTCATCAGGAGGTTATCCTCGTTTTGGCCATCACTGGTGGTATTATTAAGTAACTTTTATTTCCGTATTCTGTAATTCTCTGGAACTCAACTGAGTTCTAGACTATAGTAAGACCAAGTTGGAAGAAATATGTTGTATTTTCTTATTTTTTGAAGGAGATGAATTGGGCCCCTGTTTGTAACTTCTAAATGAGGTTAGATCCTGCCGATCACTCTGGAGCCTTAACTTTACACCGTCTCTCACACCTGGCAGCAGGTGCTTGTGGGATTGGCGTCCACTCCTCAGTGCAGAGCTGACCTTGCAGCCTGGTGCTTTACTGAGGGCGGAGGCTGCTGGTCAGCACTTGGCTCTTCTGATCCCCGCTCTCCCCTGACCTCGGCCCCAGCCCTCAGCCCTTTAGCTAGTTTTGCTTAATATCTAAACACACAAGCTGAAGCTGGAATCCTGGGTTTGAGTCGTGGCTCCCAGCACTTTCTAACTGGTGACTTCAGATACTTCATCTCTTTGTGTTTGAGCTCCCTCAGTCATAAAAATGTGGACAGTACTAACACTTCATAGGCTTATTATGTGTATTGTAAGAATTTTTTTTTAAGATATTTAGAACACTTTCTAGACACAGTATGGACCTCGTTATTTGTTAAACAAGACAAAATTCGCTGAATACTATCTAGTTTATCATAGTCATAGTTTAGGCATTTTTCCCCAAGGGATTCAGGAAAAGCCCATGTTGTCTGAAGCTGTTTCTCCAGGAGTTTTTATCATTTGATTCATACCTCAAATTAGTCCACTGAATTTCCTTGTGTTTTTTTATGAGATATTAAAGGACACTATAGTTGTTCTGGAATGTTTCCCACATTTTGTATGCATCTGTACTCTTATAGTATAAGACACTGACTTGTCAAATACAGAGGAGTGATTGATGGAGTGGTTTGAAATATATATATTAAGCACCTTTATATGCTAGACACCGGTTGGGGATGAGTCCACCGTGATAGACAAGAAAGACAAGGCCCTTGCTCTCCAGAGGCTTGTGCCCATAGCAGATGGACCGATATGATAACTACAGTTGGCAGTAAGGTCAGGAAGGACTTACGATGATTGAGAATGTCAAGGGTGGGAGGGTGGCCTTTATCTGAGGTGGTTGTGGAGTGCCTTTCTGAGGAGGAGCCCTTTGAGCTGAGGCCTGAAGGAGAAGGCTTTGGGTGTATGAAGATATAGGAGAAAGAGCATCCACAAAGAAGGATTACAAAGAGCATCCTCTTCTTGAGGAAGAGGAAGGAAGCCAGGGTTGCAGCAAGATCGTAAGAGGGGAGATGCACGGGTGGGAGCAGTAAGCAGGGGCCAGATCGTGCTAGGCCTTGAGTGAGGAGTGTTATTCTGACAAGCTATGACAGGGGTGGGGTTTTTTTTCATAATTTTTTTTATTGTAGTAAAAGATACATATCATAAAATGTACCATTTTAACCATTTTTAAGTGTATAGTTGGGTGGCATTAAGTACGTTGTTATGTAACTATCACCACCATCCGTCTCCAGAACTGTTTTCATCTGGTGAAACTCAAACTCCCCCCCTCCATTCTCCCTCTCCCCCCAGCCCCTGATAGCCAGGGGTCTACTTTCTTGGTCTGTGAAATCGCTGCTGCAGGTACCTTAAATGAGTGACATCATGTAGGATTTGCCTCTTTGTGACTGACTTCTTTCACTCCGCATAACATCTTCAGGGTTCATCCATGTTGTAAGATGTGTCAGAATGTCCTTCCTATTTAGGGCTGAATTAATATTCCGTTGCATGTATGTATAACCCACATTTTGTTTATCTGTTCATCTGCGATGACTGGTTTTAAGCAGAGGAGTGGCAAGGTCTGTCTCTCCAGTGAGCTGCCAGCCATTGATGTGCCACAGTCTATCATTTGATTTGCTATAACGAGAAAGAAAATTGTTTCCTCTGGAGAAAGGAACGTAACTCCATGTAGGGGTCTAAAGTCAGTCTTGAGCCAACAGACTGTTGAATGGAGAGTGTTAAACTTGTCACATGGAGGGCTTTTAAAGACACAGACCTCTGATCTACCTGTGGAGTTTGATGCAGTATGTTTGCAGTTGGGCCTGACTGAGAATTTGTATTTCTAGCCCTTGCAGCCCAGGTGATGCTGCTGCTGCCGGTCCCAGGGCCATACTTTGAGAACCAGTGTTCTGTGGTATTAAACTTGGCATTTTACTTTCATCTGACTACCAGATTAAAATATTTTCCTAGAATGATTTATTTGATTCACTGAAATTTGTTTTAATTACTATTGAATGTAGTGGATGTGCTTTGATAAATTCCTTTAAATAGTATTTATCATGTTTTTGTCCTATTGTGATAGGTGTGAGTCCGTCAATGTGACGGATTTTAAGTCAAGCTGGAGAAATGGGATGGCTTTTTTGGCTGTCATTCATGCCTTGCGACCAGACCTAATTGACATGAGGAGTGTGAAGCAAAGATCCAACAAAGACAATCTGAAAGAGGCCTTCAGAATTGCAGAACGAGAATTTAAAATCCCCAAATTGCTAGAACCAGAAGGTAAAGAAACTTCTTTCTTTTCAAAACAATGTCCAGTGGGAAGTTGGTTTGAAAATGGTATCTATATATAAATGAACAAAACGCCATTATGTTTTAGTCCTAAGGGGTTAAACTTAAACTCTATTAAATTTCATGAAATTAGGAATTCCTACCTATTTGTTAACCTCTGTAATTGCAGGGATGACATGACAGCTGAAAGCAAAGAGTGCTGTTATTGGGAATAATTTGAGTCTTTGTCTTAATTTTCTTTCATTGTGTTCTATATTGTGTTCCCTTGATTCTGTTATTCTGTTCCAAAATCTCTCAAGTAAATCCATTGAGTGAATGAGTTTCTCCTCTCCACTCCCTCCCCCTCAGTAAAGCTGACCTCCCATGAGGATAGAAACTGCCTTTTCTGTTTCTCCCTCTGTGGCAGGCTCTGCTTTGCCATGATTATGCTCAATACATCGTGTTGGATTGTGAACAACGACAGCAAAATCCTAAGTACTGGTTACATTTGAAGAGATAATTATGTTAACTTCATAAAATTAAGATTAAAGTGATTTACTTCTTTGGTATATGTGCTGCCAAGGCGAGCACATGATTGACTTCTTTGGAAAAGCACTTTACTTTGGGTTGGATTGTTTCTTAATTTACCGAAGCTTGTTAAAAATCCTAGTAAGGTCATAAAAGAGGTATGTAGGATTAGTGAAGATTATAATGAACTAACAGATTAAGAGATACGAATTCTAGTCTCAGATCTATAACCAGGGGTGTGTAGGTAAATGTGTGACCGGCTCTACAAAACAACGTATGTGTGTGCACGAGTGTGTGTGTATATACATATACAGGTCTGTTATTACAAATAGTACTAATGTAAAGCACATACAGCACATAGTTTCAATAATAATAAAATATATGTTACACTTTATTATAAATTCCATATAACCCCAAAATACTTTTGTTGATTTTCACCGAACTCCTATACCCATCTGCAGCTAACTTATGGTTGCAGCTGCTGGACATGTATAGTTCTGACATGAATGTTAGTGGATAATTTCCTTTAGGATCATGAGTAAGTACGACAGCAAAGAAGTCTGTCACAACTTCATTTGTTCTTCAACAACGTGAATGAGTGTTTTGCTGAGTCAGTCCTGGAAGAATATTTCCTCAATTTTTTTGCACTGTGTGCAATTTAACAGCTCTAAACAGGACATACTTTTGGGGTGCCTGGGTGGATCAGTCGGTTAAGCGTCTGCCTTCGGCTCAGGTCATGATCCCAGGGTCCTGGGATCGAGCCCCGCATCGGGCTCCCTGTTTTGCGGGAAGCCTGCTTCTCCCTCTCCCACTCCCCCTGCTTGTGTTCCCTCTCTCGCTGTGTCTCTCTCTGTCAAAATAAATAAATAAAAAATCTTTAAAAAAAAAAATAAACAAGACATACTTTTAAGTTTAACTTGCATTATTAACATTTTCTCCATCCCTTTCTTCATAATCAACAAAACAAGAAATCAAGCCCGCATTTGCTGATTTGTGTGTGTTTGTGAGGTTTGAACATTACCACCACGGCCGATTCCAGTGAGAAGTCACTGAATGCAGAGTAGGAAAAGATGTGCAACCCTAACACACCATTAGGTATTATTTTTTCTATCATACAAGTACAATAGAGGTAAATAACCTCAAGAGCATAGGTAATAGTAAAATGTAGTAAAATAGTAGGGAAGTGGTGAGTTTTGAGTATCTATTACCTTTATATATATATATATTTTTTTTTAGGATTTTATTTATTAGAGAGAGAGACAGAGATAGTGACAGAGAAAGCAAGAGAGAGCATGAGCGAGAGGGGAGGAGAGGGAGAAGCAGGCTCCCCGCTGAGCCCTGACATGGGGCTCCATCCTAGGACCCCGGGATCATTAACTGAGCTGAAGGCAGACGCTTAACCATCTGAGCCACCCAGGCACCTCTAATATATTTTTTTGATTGTGTGTTTATACAATTTAATTTTTAATGCTGGCTATGTTTAACAACCAGCTTATAAAAGTGCTGAAAATCCAATAATCAGCTCTCTCAAGCTGAGCCATTTGGCTCCAACATACCACTAAGTGATTGTGGCTTTGTCACTTAACTTTTTGGTTGTATACGGCTTTATTGTGATGTCATTCACATACCATACAATTTACCCATTTAAGTGTACAAGTCAATAGTTTTTTAGTATATTGGTGAAATTTTGCAACAATCATCATTATCAATTTTAGAACCTTTGCATCATTCCAAAAATAAACCCCATCCCATTAGCAATCCATCCCTGTCTCTCCCCACCTCTTCCAGCCTCTAAGACACACACACACACACACACACACACACACACGCATGCATGCACGCACACACGCACCCAGCCCTGGCAACCACTAATTCTTTCTCTTTCTATAGATTTACCAAGTCTGGACATTTCACATAAACGTAGTCTTTTGTGACTGGCTTCTTTACCTTAGCATAATCTTTTCAAAGCTTATCTCTGTGGCAGCGTCTATCAGGACTTCATTCCTTTTGTTTTTAATAGGCCTTATGTTTTAGAACAGTTTTAGGTTTACAGAAAAATTGGAAAGAAGATCTAGTAAGTTCCCATGAAGTTTTCCCTATTGTTGACATATTAGTACAATACATTTGTTATCATTAATGAACCAAAATTGATATATTTTTATACTTTATTCACGTTTCTTTAGTTTTCCCCTGATGCTCTTTTTCTTTTTAGGATTCCATCCAGAATTCTACCTTACATTGAGTTTTCACATCTTTTTTGACTGCTGTTGACTGTGACAGTTTCTTAGAGCTTTTTGTTTTGATGACCTGACAGTTTTGAGGATTACTGGTCATATATATTGTAGAGTACCCCTTTCTTGGATTTGTGTTATGTCTTTTCTCTTATTAGATTAGGGTTATGGGTTCTTTGGAGGAAGACCACAGAGTTGTAAAGTGCCATTCTTATCACATCGTATCAGGGGAACATGCTGTCAACATTATATCACTGGTGATGTTAACTTGATCACCTGGCTTTGTCAGGTTTCTCCCTTGTGAAGCTAGTTTTTGTTTCCCTCTTCCTGTGTTGTTCTCTTTGGAGGGAAGTCACTGTGCATAGCCCAAACATAGGAGGGTTATGCTCCCTCTCCTCGAGGGCAGGTTATCTACGTAAATTATTTACACTTCTTTTGCAGGAGTTATGTCTGTTCTCTCCCGCATTTATTCATTTATCCAACCATTGATTTATATCAGTATGGGTTTATGGACATTTTGTTTTATACTTTGGGTTGTAATCTAATATTACTTTGTTTTATTTCTCAAATTAAAAAAGATTTTTTCAGCTCAAAGTTTTTTAGCCCCTGGGAGCTCTTTCAGCTAGCTCCTGTGCTTCTTTGACATAGCCCCATCCATGTGGTGTTTCCTTGTTGTTTTTGAGCACATCCTTATTTTCTGGCACTACAGGATGCCCCAGGCTCACTTTGTACATTTCCTACCCCAGGCCTGCGATCAGCCCTCTCTCCAAGGAGCGCTGGTTGGAGAATGGCATTAGAGGCTAAGATCTGGGAGCTAACTGTGCTCATTGCTTTGATTCTTAGCCTTCTTGGGCCTCAGTTGAATTAGGGGATATTTCTACGTAAGAGTTAGCCTAATGATTCCAAATTTTTATATATTAAGTTTGTCATTATGTTAGTTTCAGGTGACTTATTATTAATTCTTCTTGTTAACTTTCCTCTCCTTGTTTTTCCTTCCTTCCCATTTCTTCCTTTCTTTGTCTTTTCTCTTTCCTTTTTGGCTTTTCATTATCTTTTTTTCTTTTCTTTGTTTTTCCTCATGTTTTGTTCTATCCCCTTTTCTGATTACTGGGTTTCTTTCTTTTCTTTTCTTTTTTTTTTTTTAGTACTTTTCTCCTACTGTGATTCTCTAAATCTTTATTAGTATAAAATATTTTCTCTGGTTCAGTATGTGAAAATAACTAGGCAAATAATGTAATAGACAGTATAAAAAGGCAAATTTCCACTGTATAAATGATTGCCGATAATTCATTTTAAATGGCTTAAATAATAGCTTAAAATGTTAAGTACATCATGATTATTTATGCAAACCAAATTCTTTTGTCATATTTGAATAAGATAATTATCTTTTGACAATTTTATTAAAACATTTAATCACAGTGCATAGCTGTATATACAATAAAGTTTCCATTTTTATTTTTTTTAAGATTTTATTTATTTATTTGACAGAATGAGACACGGCGAGAGAGGGAACACAAGCAGGGGGAGTGGGAGAGGGAGAAGCAGACTTCCTGCTGAGCAGGGAGCCCGATGTGGGGCTCGATCCCAGGACCCTGGGATCATGACCTGAGCCGAAGGCAGACACTTACTTAATGACTGAGCCACCCAGGCGCCTCTACAACAAAGTTTTTAAAAAGAAACATCTAGTTAAGTCAGTCTAATTATTTTATGTATCTCTTGATTTACTTTTTTTAAAAAGATTTTATTTGTGAGAGAGAGAGAGAAAGAGAGCTCAAGCAGGGGGAGCAGGCAGAGGGAGGAGCAGGCAGAGGGAGAACCAGGCTTCCCGCTGAGCAAGGAGCCCCATGCGGGACTCAATCCAGGATCCTGGGATCGTGACCTGGGCCCAAGGCAGATGCATAGCCAACTGAGCCAGCCACGCGTCCCATACTTTTACTTTTCTACTTATACTTTTTTTTCGGTTAAAGAATAACTCAGTTCTTAGGGATGCTTCCTTTATTGAAACTCCACCCCTACCTTTTTATTGATACCTTTTGTATGTTTACTGTCTCGAATTTTATTATTTGGATATAGATTAGATTCATGTTCTTCCTCAGCCTACTTAGAACAGTCATTGGGCCCAGTAAACACATTTGCTAAAGCATGCATAATGTGTTATATTTGTTTGTTGTTTGTTTTTCTCCTAACAGTAAGCTCCTTGAGGGGCAGATAATGTGTTAAGGTATCTAGCATCTACTCAAGTGTCTAGCATCCCCTTGTTGAATGAATAAAGTGATGAAACATACAGCTCCTAAGGGCAAGAACTCGGCCTTACCTATCTTGCTTGTGATCTGCATTTGTTGACTCTCTATAAATATTTGATGAATTTATTTTAACTGAATTAATAAATAAACACAGAAGATTTCCTTTTCTTTTCTTTTTTTTTTTTTTTATTCATGAGAGACAGAGCGAGAGAGAAAGGCAGAGGGAGAAGCAGGCTCCCAAGGAGCAGGGAGCCCGATGCGGGACTCGATCCCAGGACCCTGAGATCATGACCTGAGCCGAAGGCAGACGCTTAACCATCTGAGCCACCCAGGCGCCCAGAAGATTTCCTTTTCAGTATCTTCCTGGTTGTTTTGGCAACATACTAAAAGACATCCCAAAATTATGTGTTCATTTTGTCTGTAGTGTATTGATCGCTTCTTTGTGATTTTGTGATCTACCTAATTTATTATAAGTCTGGAGAAGTTCTGCATTTAAGGAATTTATAATATTTTTACTTTGTTTAATTCAGCATTTTCCAAATTTATTTCACCATGGACTTCGTTAATGCACCACAAGGATTGACCCACAGAAGGCTCTCAGTAAATATATTTGTTCCACGAATGAACAAATAAAATCTTGCGGATGTCTTGAGTAAGTCTGCCATACAACGTATGCTTTTGTCTGTCAGAGAGAGAGAGAACATAAGCAGGGAGAGTGACAGGCAGAGGGGAAGGGAGAGGGAGAAGCAGGATCCCCATTGAGCAGGGAGCCCGACGCGGGGCTCCATCCCTGGACCCTGGGATCATGACCTGAGCTGAAGGCAGACGCTTAACCGACTGAGCCGCCCAGGCGCCCCAACATATGCTTTTGGAAATGCTTCACTGAACACTTGCTGGGACCGGTGTGACAGGAATGGAGTCCAGTCGCTCTGTGTTCCTACACTTTCCTCTCCTGGAGGAGTTTCCATGTCGTGTCTCTGGAAGGAGGAAGGCTGTATTGTCCCCTTTCCGCCCTCCCTACTGAGGGCCTTACACGGACAACATGTAAGGTGGAAATTGAGGCTGTGCGTGTACTACTGGCAGGATTCAACTCAGCTCTGTTTGCCTGTGGATCTAAGCTCTGAGCCACCGCACGGACTTGGAGCAAGGGCCGCCGACCAAAGATTGCGCGGCCGGTTAACTACTTTGGTTCATTTCAAGGCTGTCTTACAGCAGACGCGGTTCTTGTGTAGTCGTTACAGTAAATCGCATCTATAGCTGATTGACAGTGTGGCACCTCTTGCAGATGTGGACGTTGTGAATCCTGACGAAAAGTCAATCATGACCTATGTGGCGCAATTTCTGCAGTATTCGAAGGATGCAGCGGAGACTGGAGATAAAGCTCAGGTATGTCCTTACGAGTATGACTCAAGAGCATTTTTGTTGTACCCTACTAGTGGCTTAATTTTTAAAACTGAGGTACAAGGGCGCCTGGGTGGCTCAGTCGGTTGAGCGACTGCCTTCGGCTCAGGTCATGATCCTGGAGTCCCGGGATTGAGTCCCGCATCGGGCTCCCTGCTCGGCGGGGAGTCTGCTTCTCCCTCTGACCCTCCCCCTTCTCATGCTCTCTCTCTC